TTTTTTTTTTTTTTTTTTGAGATGGGGTCTCACTATGTTGCCCAGGCTGGTCTTAAACTGCTTAGCTCAAGCAGTCCTTCCACCTCTGCCTCCCAAATAGCTAGAACTGCAGGCGCGAGCCACCATATTTGGCTCGTTCATGTCTTTTGATGCACATATGCATTCATTCCTGTTGGGTATTTACCCGGAGCAGAAGAAAATGATGTCCACTATAACCACTTCTATTCAACATTGTTCTAGATGTCATAGACAGTACCTCAAGACAGTAAAAAGAATACATATTGAAAATGGAAAAAAAACCCAGATTGTTCTTAGATGACATGAATTACAGAAAATCCCAAATAATGTATAATTTAGAAGTACTAAGTGAATTTAGAACAGCTGCTGATATGTCATTATACAAACATCAGTTAAACTTCTATACCTGTATGTTAGCAGTAAACAGAAAATAAAATTATTAATTTTTTCACTTTATCGCCCTCAGTGGAGTGCTGTGGCGTCACAACTCACAGTAACCTTCAACTCCTGGGTTTAGGCGATTCTCTTACTTTAGTCTCCTGAGTAGCTGGGACTACAGGCGCCAGCCACAATGCCCAGCTATTTTTTGTTGCAGTGTGGCTGGGGCTGGGGTCGAACTTGCCACCCTCAGTATATGAGGCCAGCACCCTACCCACTGAGCTACAGGTACTTCCCCAGAAAATTATATTTTTAAAATGAATAAGCTGGTCAGGTATATGATCGCACATGTAATCTGAGGCTCACACCTGTAATCCAAGCACTCTGGGAGGCCAAAGTGGGTGGATCTCTTGAGCTCAGAAGTTCAAGACCAGCCTGAGCAAGATTGAGACCCTGTCTCTACTAAAAGTAGAAAAACTAGTTGGGTGTTGTGCCAGGAACTTCTAGTCTCAGCTACTTGGGAGACTGAGGCAAGAGGATCACTTGAGCCCAGGAGTTTGAGGTTGCTGTGAGCTATGATGCCATGGCAATCTAGGCTGTGCAACAGAGTGAGACTCTGTCTCAAAACAAACAAACAAACAACAACAACAAAAATGAAGACTCAGTGCCTGTAGCACAGTGGTTATGGTGCCAGCCATATACACTGAGGCTGACCAGTTCAAACCTGATCCAGGCCAGCTAAAACAATGACAACTGCAACAAAAAAATAGCCAGGCATTGAGGTGCCTATAGTCCCATCTACTTGGGAGGCTAAGGCAAGAGAATCGCTTAAGCCAAAGAGTTTGAGGTGGCTGTGAGCTGTGATACCATACCACTCTTCTGTGTGACATAGTGAGACTCTGTCTCAAAACAAAACAAAACAAAACCCAACTGAATAAGCCCAGCTAGGCCAAGTGGCTCATGCCTGTTATCCTAGCGCTCTGGGAGACTAGGGTAGGTAGATCGCTGGAGCTCAGTAATTAGAAACCAGCCTAAGGAAGAGCAAGACTCCATCTCTACTAAAATAGACAAACAGGGCAGTGCCTGTGGTTCAGTGAGTAGAACACCAACCCCATATACTGAGAGTGGCAGGTTCAAACCCAACCCCAGCCAAACTGTAACAAAAAATAACCAGGCATCATAGCGGGCACCTGTGGTCCCAGGTACTCAGGAGGCTGAGGCAAGAGAATCCCCTAAGCCTAAGAGCTGGAGGTTGCTGTGAGCTGTGATGCCACAGCAATCTACCGAGGGTAGCAAAGTGAAACTCTGTCTCTAAAAAAAACAAGCAACAAAATAAAATAAAATAGACAAACAAAACTAGCCAGGTTTTGTGGCAGGTGCCTGAAGTCCCAGCTACTTGGGAAGCTGAGGCAAGGGGATCACTTGAGCACAAGAGTTTGAGGTTGCTGTGAGCAATGACACCTCAGCACTCTACCCAGGGCAACGGAATGAGACTGTCTCAAAAAAAAACCCCAACAAAACAAACAAACTAAAACTGAATAAAGATGATATGCAAAATCTTTCCACAGAAAACTCCAAAACATTACTAGGAGACATTAAAAACAGCTTAAATAAATGGAGGGACATACCATACCACGTTCATTTACCGAAACACTCACTGTTTGCTGCTGTAACAAAGTTGATGACTTAAAACACAAAGAAAGTCCAATATGAATCTCACTGGGATGGAATCAAGGTTAAGATTCCTTTTTGGAGGCTCTAAAGGAGAGTCCATTTTCTTGCCCTTTCCAGCTTCTCAAGGCTGCCTGCATGCCTTGGTTCATGGCCCCCTCTGCCATAGTCAAAGCTAGCAAGGCTCCGTCTCTCTCACCTGTTCTATGGTCATATGTCTAACTCTCCTTTTCTACCTTCTTCCACTTTTAAGGATTCTTCTGATTACTTTGGGCCCCCCTCAATAATCCAGGCTAATTTCCCTTTCTTAAAAGTCAGCTAATTAGCAAGCATAATTCCTCTTTGCCATGTAACCTAACATGTACAGGTTCCAAGGATTAGGATGTGCACATCTCTACTAAAAATAGAAAAGTTAGCCAGATATTGTGGCAGGCACCTGTGGTCCCAGCTACTCAGGAGGCTGAGGCAAGAGGATCACTTGAGCCCAAGAATTTGAGGTTGCTGTAAGTTGTGATGCCACAGCACTCTACCAACAGGGACAGAGTAGGACTTTGTTTAAAAAAGAAATAAATGAAAAAAGATGTTCAACTTAGTCATCAAAAAATGCAAATTAAAACATCATGTGACAGCACGGCACACCCACCAGAATGGTTAAAATTTCAAAAAAACAATTTTTTTTTTCAAAAACTGGGCTGGGCACCTATGGCTCAAGC